ACTGAGTTCTTGGAGGGTCTTGAGAGGTCTCAAAGGTTGAGTTTTTGATCCAGAAGTTGTTGGTTTTGCTGAGCTTCAAGGGTAACTCACCTTTCCCTCTTTTAAGCTTTATTTTGATGCTTCTCTTAGCTATACTTGCATGCATATTTGAGCTTTGTTGTCAGCTAAAAAAAGGTTCATATTTAAATGATTTTCATGTTTGTTTAAGGCCGTTTTCCTGTTGGGGGTCATCTACCCTTTTGCATGTTCTTTTTTGCTTTGTTTTGAGTCATGCCATGAGGCCTTTGTATTAAGCTTTGCTTGGCCCTTTAGCCACTGAAATCCAGCGGATTTTCAATGGTTGGCATGATGTTTTGAGGGCCAAAATCAGAGATGGGTGACCCTCTCTCTTTTGGCCTTGTTTGTTGGCATTTTTGGCCTTTCAAAGGAGCCTACATTTTCGTACTTCCTAGCCTTGGTTCAGGCCATTTTTAGTGACTTTAAGACCTGCCTAGACTCTGTCTAGGGCTGGTTTGGTCACCTCATGTTTTCCTCTTGCATGTGTAGAATAATCCTCTTCATAGCTTATTAAAGGAGCATGTCATTCTTACATGTATTGGCCATGTTTCAGTGGGTTTTTGATCATTATTTGGCATATCATAGCTCTGTCTTTGGCTAGTTTAGTGGCCTCTTGAATGCTTCACATAGTGTAAACTATGCTCACTAGCTTACATTGCATGTTGTTTTGGCCGTTGATTCTAGCATATTTTGACCATACTTCAAACTGATTTTACTCATATTTCGGGTTGCCTTAGCTCTGTTTTGAGGCCTCTTGGTCGAATGATACTTACCATGCATACTTGTAGTGTAATATCCTTGCCTAGCCTTGAGTTTTGGAGCCCCTTGCATGCTTAACTTGAGGTGTTTCCATGTTTTGGCATCATTGAGCATATTATTTCAGAGCCTATACTTGTGTCATGTTCCCATATTTTTCACTCTTTAAATGTGTTTGAGAGTTGTGCTTGTATACCTCATTTATGGGCCATTGCATGAGCTTCATTTTTGTGCATTTCCAACCATCATCTTAGTCCATTTGGTCACTATTTTGGGCCTGCATAGGGACTATTTGGGATTAGTTTGTTCATTTGGGCATTGCTTTGCATACCTCTAGTGTAATGCACTTCACTAGTTTCGGTATTTGAGCCATTCAACATGCATAACATGAGTTGTTTGCATGATTCGGGACCATTTTGTATGTCATTTCAGAGCTGGAACATGTGTCGTTGTATGCCATATTTCATTCTTTCCATGCTTTCATACAGTTGTATCTTGTGCCCTAGGCTTTGGGCCCTTGCATCTTGCATGTTTGCATGTGTTTTGTTGCCTCATTTTCATCATGTATGGCCACTGATTTGGGTGTGGCTGAGGCCCATTCATTTTGGTTTAAGTCCATTTTGCATCGAGTATGCCATTGTAGTTCATAGCATTGAGTACGCCGCGTTGTCGCATGTTTGATCATTGTATTGCGCATGCCTTGTTCACTTCATTGTGTATGAATAGTCTTCACATGTGCATTGTGTATGACATATAGTATCATGTGCATTGAGTATGCCATTGTTAGTTCATAGCATTGCGTATGCTAGGTTGTATGTTTACATGTCATCCTTCGCATGTTTGCATCACTTAGTTGCATTGCATGAGGATTGCATGCTAGAAGTCGCATTGTGCATGTCATTGTTTGTCGCATTGTGTTCGGAATAGGAGTTAGTCTGAACACAAAAAACGAAGGACGTCTCGTACTCAAAGTGACAAACGTGCCTCAGTTCCCGGTCACCGACACTCTTGACTTCCCATGATGGAGTTGTTGGCTTTAGGTGCTTATGTGTGCATTCATGTCACATTGAGTCGTGCAATTCGGCTCCTCGGCCATCATGCATCGGGATGCGTGATTGGTGGCCCAAGGGTCGAGGACTACACCCCCTAGAGCTTATGCAATGACGGGGAGAGTGGTCATGCACACATGTGTTGCAGATACCTTGTCGTGCCCTTCCCTTTCCCTTTGTTGCAGAAAACAGAAGCCAGGAGAAGGAACTGGTCGGCCGACCATATTTACTGGTTAGCTGACCACTTTTGTTGGTTTCCACTACAAAAGGTGGTCGGTGGTTGGTCTCCCATGCCCGTAAGCTGGTCGGCAGCCTTCCTGCAGTTTCCCGGGGTAAAGTTTCATCTCCTTGGAGCTTTGTGCAAATTTCTGAGATCAATTGCAAACAAAGGCAAGCCGGGGCATCGCGATGGATTTCCCGACAAGGCAACTCGAGCATGCATGCATCCATTGTCATCCAAAACAAAGCCAAGGCAGCCCACTTTCATTTAGTTTACTTGCTTACTTAGTTAATTTGTTAATTAGCTAGTGTTGTGTAATAATTAGCTGTAATTTACTATTCGTTTCGTTGTGTAATAGCTAGTTTAATTAGATTAGCTTAAGCTAGTTAGTTGGTTCTGTATTATTCATTCGGACCCTCCGTCGAGAGGGCCAATTGTTGTAATAAGTGTGCGTGTGTGTGACGCATGTCTTCCAACCCCCACATCTTTCTCCCTTTTATTTACCTGCTTTCGATGGTTAGTTTTAGGGCATGTTTCAATTAGCATCCTTATGTTCGCATGTTTGCATCCATTCATTTGTCTTGCATGCACCGGGCTCGACGCGTCATACTAACTGCATTGTATTTCAATTCCAAGTTGAATACATGTTATCTGTAGCATCTCATATGCCATCTTAGAATAGCCGAGCCTATCTTAGTTGCATTTTGCATGTGTTGCATTAGCCATCTTAACATGAACTAGGATCATGCATTGATTACTAACTAGTTTCTGTTTTGGCTCGGAGTACTCGGTAAGTGTTTACGCTTTAACATCCTTGCATGTGTGTGAGTGATTGTCATGATAGCATGCTTACCATGAGGCTAACTGCTTATGTGATATAACTGCTTGAATGCTTGTGGGTGAAGGTTGGATTATTTGAATTGGAACAATTCATTGATTGCGAGTTTTAAGCCCACTTGAGAGTGGCAAATCACCATATTTTCTAAGCCCACTTGAGAGTGAAAAAATTCGTATTTTAGCCTACTTGCGAGTAGCAAACCACTTTCAAAAACAAACATGAGATATTTTATTCCAACTTAGGTGATCCGGTCTATATTTGTTTTGTTTTGCGCATCACGTAGTAATTCTAGGCTAATAAACCGGAATAAGAACGCATGTGTTTTCAAAAACAAGATATCATGTTTAGTAGTGGCCGATCTTCGATCGGGCGAGCGGGGGTGTTCATTGCATGACCTTCCCCAATCGTACCCAAGTTCCCGAGCCGAGGCAACTTTGGTGATGACGGACACGTGGCCTTAGGCACGAGTTAGGGTTTCCTAAATTTCCCCAAAATAAAATATTTAGGTGGCGACTCTATATCTGACAAAGCAGTCCATGTTTGGCACTTCTTTCTCAAAATTAGTTTTTCAAAACAATTTGCCGGATTTGAACTCTTTGGTAATTTATCAATCTTGCATTGCACTTTGTGAGATTAGATTCAGAACCGTGACATTTGAGTCCGAGCTGTAGTGAGCCCAATGAACAAAATGAGATTTTTCCCGGGACGTTCGGGGACGTCTACACTCTGTCATGTGCTTATAGCTGTTAAAACTCCTTTCAGGTGAAGAAATTTAAAGAAGGATGGTTTTACCCCGTGGATTAGAACCTCAAATTTGATATGGATATCATTTTTTTTCTTATAATCATTATCTGACTGATGTTACATCGTTACATAAATAATAATTTCTTTGTACGCTTCAGATATTTATCTACATCTTTTATTTTAATCCACTGCATTATTTAATTTAATTACTTGAAATTAATCTAAGAAGCTTTAGAATTAGTTAGTTGCGAATCCAGCCTTGGTCACTGGGATGGGTCGTGACAAAAGTGGTATCAGAAGGAAAAAGGTAAAAAAAAAAAAAAAAAAAAAAAAAAAAAAAAAAAAAAAAATAACAAAAAACTTACCGTAGTCCTGAGAGTGATGAGTCTTTTCTTAGTTCTATAGCTAAGTTGGGCATCCTGTGGTGCAGGCAATGTCAGAACTTAACTTTGGCGACTCTTTTTGGTATAGGCCTGATCCTTCGGACATTGAAGGAATTTTTTAAAATAACAATTACGTTCCAAACTTACCAGAGGAAATATGTGACTTGGAAGCAATAGTTAGGCAGGCAGACCCAACCCTTAACCGACTTATGGGCCGACTAGTGTACTTAAGGGCCGTCCCTATAGAAGTAGACATACAGTGGTGGAGGGTTGATGCTATAAGTACCTCAGATAGGGTTTTAGGACCTACACAGGTAGTAGGCATGGCCCCGAGTCAGGGATATCCTCGTTATTTAGTGGCACCTTTACCTTCAAAGTTTATGGCTCGACGAGGAAATGCCTTCTTAAGTGATCACATTCAAGTAAGATTCCCTCACTCTCAAAACCTAATTGATACTCAGGCGATTGACTTAAGTGACATTACGACGTATGTGGAGGTACCTGTGCGTATCATAGGACGACAATTGTGGGGTTACGAGGCAGGCATCCCCATATACCGAGTGGAGGTGGTATGGCGATGCTTTGGCATAGAGCAAAGCGGATGGGAGTTTGAGCATCACATGCAACTACAGTACCCATGGCTATTTTCAACCTAAGATCCTGATAACAAAATCCTTTTTTTTGTTGTTTTTGTGTTTTTCTTTTTCTTTTTCTTTTGTTTGGTGTCCAAGCGAGCTGACCATGACCTAGTTCTAACCCGCTTTGTAATGGAGGGTTAGGCACTAAAATTGACATAACTACAAGTGATGTACCAACACCATTATACATAAATAAAACCAGTGTTTTATGAATAATGTATATATTGTCTATGTTTTGTAAATTATGTGAATATGTTTTAATTTAGGTAATTAATAGAAATCATGCACTACGTTTATTAAAATTGTTTTATAGCTATGGCTAACGATGGAAATGATACTGGATCATCATCCAATGGAATCGATCCAATGGAAAGGATTGTGGAGAGAGCTATTACCAGTTTCTTGCAAGCCTTGTAGAACAATGGGTCACTAGAACATCGAGAAGGGACAACTATGATTAAACAGTCCCAAGACCTGAAACCTTCCACATTCACAGGAGACTCAAACCCATTACTGGTTGAAGCTTTGGTTAAAGAAATGGAAAAGATTTTTCATGCCCTACCCTGCACAGAAGAACAAAAAGTATCCTTCGCCACTTTCACTTTCAAGGAAAATGCGCATGAATGGTGGCTCCTCACCTTAGAACAGGAAGAGATCATGACTTGGGAAAGATTCCTAGAGGTGTTCTATGAAAAGTATTTTCCAGAATCACTATGGGAGCAGAAGGCATCTGAGTACCAACATTTGAGGCAAGGAACAATGTCAGTGGCGAAATATGAAAGTAAGTTCACACAACTAGCACGATTTGCATCGTATGTTATTCCAACAGAAGCCCGAAAAGCAAGGAAATTCGAAGCAAGATTACATGCAGAAATCAAAGATAGGCTCGAGGTTCTGAAACTACCAACCTATGCAGAGGGGGTGGATCGAGCATATATCACTGAAAAAGGAATTAAAATTGCACGTTCCAGTGGAATGGGTCAAAAGAGGCGGTTTTGGGAATCAGTCTAAGGATCAAGGGCAGCATCACCAAAGAAAGTAAATCTCGGATCTACTAGCTCAACTGGTTCGGTCAACCAAAGTTTTACTATTCCTAGGGGTAGCACCATTCCGAATTGTCTGAATTGCGGAAAGGCTCATAGGGGATAGTGTTATCAGGCAATAGGAGCGTGTTATAGATGTGGCCAAGTTGGCCATGTGATGAAAGACTGTCCAAAATTCACCAACTCTATGATAGGTACCTCTGAACTAGCTTAGAAACTACAAACCGCCACAAGAGGAAAGAAGGAACAGAGACGCCAAGGAAAAGCTTTTGCATTAGTACCTAGAAACTCCAATGCTACGGAGAACGTTGTGACATGTTCACTTTCTATCTGTGGTCACTTAGCTCATGTTCTCTTTGACTCTGGTTCCACTCATTCGTTTGTTGCACCACACTTTGTTTCCAAGTTAACATCAACACCTGAACCATTGGGATATGCATTATCTGTGGCTTTTCCATCTGGTGTCTCCACGCTTAGTACAAAGGTATACAAGTCCTATGTTATATCCCTAAAGGTTGAAACATTGTATGTAGATCTAATTCCACTCCGCATTAGTAGCTTCAACATAATCTTAGGAATGGATTGGCTTGCTGCCAACCATGCCTCTATCAACTGTAGGACCAAAAAGGTCTTTCTTCGGTTACCCGACCAACGCGAGTTGGTTTTCGAAGGAACTGGAGTTTCTACCCCTTCGTATTTGATATCCTCCGTGATAGCCCAGCGACTTTTGAGAAAAGGTTGTAGTGGTTGTATTTGTTATGTGGTCGACACTCAACAAATAGACCCAACACTCGATTCAATACTGGTCATTTGAGAATTTCCTGACATCTTCCCTGAAGACTTACCTGGTACCTTAGTTGATCGAGAAATTGAATTCACCATCGATAGTCAACCCAATACACAACCGATCTCCAAAACCCCTTACCGCATGTCGTTCGCGGAATTGAAGGAACTAAAAACTCAACTCCAGGAACTCCTAAACAAAGGCTTCATTCGACCAAGTACCTCACCATGGGGAGCTCCAGTACTATTTGTAAAGAAAAAGGATGGCACGATGAGGTTATGCATCGATTACCAGGAGTTGAACAAAGTCACCATCAAGAATCGATACCCCTTGCCAAGAATCGACGACTTGTTCAATCAACTTCAAAGCGCCCAAGTATTCTCCAAAATCGATTTGCGTTCTGGCTATCATCAACTAAAAGCCAAAATGGAAAGCATTGCGAAGACGGCCTTCAAAACACGTTACGGGCACTACGAGTTTCTTGTCATGCCATTTGGCGTCACAAATGCTCCAGCGGCCTTCATGGACCTCATGAACCGAGTGTTTAAACCATATCTTGATGAGTTCGTCATCATCTTCATTGACGACATTCTCATATACTCCAAGTCACCAGAAGATCATGAGCGACCCTTACGAACAGTGCTGCAAACACTACGTGATCACAAACTTTATGCCAAGTTGAAGAAATTTGAATTCTGGATCACTAGTGTACACTTTCTCGGTTACGTCATAAATAAGGATGGCACCTTGGTTGATCCCCAAAAAGTTGCAGCAATCGTGGATTGGCCACGACCTACTAATGCGTCCAAGATTCGAAGCTTCTTAGGTCTAGCCGGCTATTACCGACGCTTCATTCAAGATTTCTCGAAGATAGCATCACCCTTGACCTAGCTAACTCAGAAAAACACACCCTTTGAATGGACTGACAAGTAGGAACGTTACTTCAAGAGTTGAAAAATAGGCTTGTGACAGCTTCTATACTGGCTCTCCCCACAGGAACTGATGGGTTCGTAATTTATAGCGATGCCTCATACAATGGTTTGGGTTGTGTTCTTATGTAAAATAGGAAAGTCATTGCATATGCCTCGCGATAACTAAAGACTCACAAGAAAAACTACCCAACTCACAATCTAGAATTGGCTGTAGTAATCTTTGCCCTCAAGATCTAGCGTCATTATCTCTACAATGCAACCTGCGAGATTTACACCGATCACAAGAGTCTTAAATATTTGTTTACACAGAAGGAACTGAATATGAGGCAACGTCGATGGTTAGAATTTATAAAGGACTACGATGTAAAGATCCATCACCATCCGGGCAAAGCTAACGTGGTAGCAAACGCATTAATTTGAAAGACTACCTGAAGTTTAGCATGTATCCTCGTCCCCCGCAAGATCAATGGACTGCTTGCCAACGTAATTATAGAACCCACATTGATTGAAGAAATTAAAGCATGCCAAGGTGAAGACAAAATTTTGAAGAAAAAGTACAAGGAGCAGAAAACTACTCCTAATCCTGACTTCACTATAAGTAATGGAATGCTAAAATTTCAAAATCGAGTTTGTGTACCTGACGCTCCAGCACTCAAGAAAAAGATATTAGTGGAGGCTTATAGCTCGAGATTTGCAGTCCACCCTGGAAACACGAAAATGTATCACAATTTGACGGAACACTACTGGTGGACAGGAATGAGAAGAGATATAGCAAGCCACGTCTCCAAATGCCTGCAATGTCAACATATTAAAGCAGAACATCAGAGATCTGCAGGAATACTGCAATTACTCCCTATTCCTTAATGGAAATGGGAGCACATTACTATGGACTTTGTGGTCGGGCTACCACATTCAGTTTCAAAGAATGATGCGATATGGGTTATAGTAGACTGATTAATGAAGTCAGCGCATTTCTTACCAATCAGAATCACATACTCCCTTACTAAGTTCGCCACTCTATACATCACAGAAATCATTCGATTACATGATACCCCAGTTTCAATCGTGTATGACCGAGACCCCCGCTTCGTATCTCACTTTTTGAACAAATTGCAAGAAGCTTTGGGAACAACACTGAAGCTTAGCATTGCTTATCACCCGTAAACTTATGGACAATCCGAAAGAACAATCCGGACTTTGGAAAACATGCTACAGATGTGCGTGTTGGACCTCAAGGGTAATTGGGATGAGCACCTACCTTTAGTGGAATTCACCTATAACAATGGCTACCACGCAAGCATTGGTATGGCATCGTACAAAGCATTGTATGGAAGGAGATGTCGGTCACCTTTGTGTTGGGTAGAAGTTTGAGACAGGAAACTATTAGGCCCCGAAATCGTGCAAATAACGAGTAATAAGATTCAACTAATCCAATAGCAAATTTGCACAGCTCAAAGTCACCAGAAAAGCTATATGGATACACGAAGACGAGATTTGGAATTTCAGGTAGGAGAGCATGTTTTCTTAAATGTCTCACAAACAAGAGGAGTCATTCGGTTTTGAAAACGAGAAAAGTTGAATCCGCGTTACGTCAGACCATTTGAAATACTGGAGAGAATTGGCCCTATAGCATACCGTCTTCCTCTTCCACTAGAATTGTCCGATGTTCACAATGTATTCCACGTTTTGATGCTTCGACGATATCTTCGAGATCCAGAACATGTTGTCAATTATGAGAGCCTCGAAGTTCAAGAAAATTTCTCTTCCAAAGAACATCCAGTGCAGATCCTCAATCATCGTGATCAAATTCTCCGAAACAAGACTATACCTCTTGTCAAAGTTTTATGGCGAAACCATCGTGTCGAAGAAGCTACGTAGGAAATTGAAAACCAAATGCGAGCCAAATACCCACACCTCTTTGAAAACCAAGGTACGTCAAATTTGAGGACAAACTTCTATTTATGAGGGAATAAATGTGACAACTTAATTGTTTAATCAATTTACAAAAAAAATAAAAATAAAAAATCAGTAAATAAAAAAAATAAAAAAATACTAAGAAAACATTTAAATGATGTGTGCTAAAATGTAATCTAATTACAATGGTTTAATTATGTTAGAATTTGGGTCCAAAGATAAATAATATAAATAAAAACTATTTAAACTTATCCATTGGGATAAGCTCATAGTTGAGGGATAATTTTCCTTCTAGAGCATCATAATGGTTGTAGTTTAGAGAGGCAACATGTCACCCTAAGAACGTGCTGAGCAAGTATGGAGGCTTAGTATAAAAGGGGAGAGTTGATGTGAACAGGAGATCAACAAAAGAAAAAAAAAAGTAAGAAAGGCACAAAACAAACGTAACCATGGGAGAGAGTCAGCTCACGGTGAAGGGGAGCACAATTAGGAATTACTATTTAAGTGGGTTATATTATACCTTGAGCTACCATAATATGTTTTATATATGTCTTGAGTTACCATAATATATTTTAAGAATGTTTTAAGTTACTATAAATTTATATAATTTATGCTTTAGGGTTATGTTAATGTTTCAATTATGTGGATTATTTTCTAAACTCTATTTGCTTAAATTGAAACCCATGGATATGTTTATTAAATTTTAGAAAATATTTGACAATGATTTTATAAACATTTGTTTTGAATAAGTACCACCATGGAGGCCCCATGTCTTGGGGACTTAAATAATCATTGGCCCTCTGAATTGTCTCTTTAGTGACCCTCTGATAGTCTCATGCCTTGGGGGATTAAAATAACCTTTGGCCCTCTAATTAGTCACTTCGTGACCCTCTGTCTGTCATGCATCCATTGACCATCTGTTTTATTCTGTACCGTGGTTATGATTATTTTGTTTATATAGTTTTGTGTTATATATCTGTTATTAAAAATAATTTATTCGAACCAAACTATTCATCATTTAGCCTAAATAATTATTGATGGTGATTTTATACCCTTATGCTCTCAGTATAATATTTCTCACTTTGTCATGCGCTTATAGCTATTAAAACCCCTTTCAGGTGAAGAAATTTAAAGAATAATGGTTTTACCCTGTGGATCAGAACCTCAAATTTGATATGAATATCATGTTTTTTTTTTCTTGTAATCATTATCTGACTGATGTTACATGATTACATAAATAATAATTTCTATGTACTTAGAATTAGTTAGTTGCGAATCCAGCCCTAGTCAGTGGGATGGGTTGTGACAGTTCGACATCCCTAAAGTCATACTCTCTAGTCACGGTACCCAGTTTGATGGGAAGGTTTCAAGAAATTCTGCTTTGACCTAAAGATTGAGTTCAGAAACTCTACTCTAGTCTACCCTCAATACAATGGTCATGCTGAAGCGTCTAACAAAATGGTCATTAATGAGATTAAGAAACGCCCAGAAAAGGCCAAAGGCAAATGGGTGGAAGAACTACCAAATGTCTTATGGGCATACAGGACTACACCAAGGCGATTGACAATGAAGGCACCCTACTCCTTCACCTATGGAATGAAGGCCGTCATCCCCCTAAAGGTCGGTCTCCCCACAATTCGGTCTGAAATCTTTGAACCAACAAACAATGATGACATCATCGCTCAAGCTCTAGACTTGGTAGAGGAATGCAAAGAGACTGCCTCCATTCGCTTGGCAGCCTATCAGCAACAACTTACCAGAAGCTTCAATAAGAATGTGCTTGTGAGACAATTTCTACCTAGAGATCCGGAACTAAGAAAGGTCATAGATCACATGAAGGTCCCTAGAGAAAGGAAGCTCAAACCCAACTGGGAAGGGCCATACAAAGTCACCTCTACCTTGGGCAACGGAGCTTACTATTTGGTTGACTTAGCAGACAAGCCCATTCCTCGTCCTTGGAATGTTGTCAATTTGAAGAAATAATATCAATGATATAATGACTTAAACATCTTTCAAATGTAACCTCGTCTTATGAGTATCAATGAAATCTACTTTTCTCTACAAATTGTGTTCTTTTACATGTGTGTCGTACATATTTTCGCTTGGCAATTGAGTAAGATTGGGTTACGGGTCTTAACCTACACCCCAGCCCAAAAGCTCGACCTTTGGTCGAAATAGGGCGCCAAGTGGTATAATTTGGTGGAATTTGTGCGAAGTATTGTTACTTGAAAGCATGGTCCATAGTAATAACTTGCGCTCAACAAAAAGCTGAGCTACGCTCACCAATGAGCTAAATTTGACCAAATCAAGTAAGAGCCAAGCAACGAAGTGTTTGGTTAAACTCAAACCAAACAAACATTTTTTACCAAATATTTCCTACCCAAGGGGCATCATAATTTTTTTTTTCTCAAAATTTTTTTTCAAACTTTTTCGAAGGCATGAAGTCTGGTTTGACCGATCAGACGCCCCACTTGGTCTTAGAGCCTCTACTTGGCCGGTGGGCAGGAAAAAATATTTCCTCACAATTTTTCTTTCTACACAATCTTTCTAAGGCAAGAAGCTTGGTTTGTCTGAATAGCCTCGGAGCCTCTGCTCAATCGGGGAGGGGGCATACAAAGCTTTCTTTCCTAAAAAATTTTCTAAGGCATGAAGCTTGGTGTAAACGATCAAATGCCCCGCTTGGTCTCGAAGCCTCTGCTCGATCGAGGGGCATCCAAAGCTTTATTTCCTAAATTTATTTTAAGGCAAGAAGCCTGGTCAGTCCAAACAAACGGTCTGCTCAACCTCAAAGCCTTTGCTCGGCCGGGGGCCACACAAAGCTTTATTTTCTAAAATTCTTTCTAAGGCAAGAAACTTGGTATATCTAAACAGACGTTCTGCTCAACCTCAAAGCCTCTATTTGGCCGGGAGACATACAGTACACATGCAAAGCAAAGATGAAGAGCAAGTTAACTGGCAAAAACATAGAACATCTCATCGATAATCTTATAACAGTTACAAAAACCAAGAAGTTCTACCTTACATCCTCTAAAAGCAACCAAACTCCTCAATGGGAGTTGCCAAAAGGAAAAGTGCATAAAAATGAAAGAGCTATTTTTGAGGAGCATCAAAAGGAACAATAGAATCAGTCGGCAACATGGTCTCTTAAACAATAATCAGATCAGCAAAAGGTTTTGGTGCAACCAAAGCACCCTGTCCAACCACAGTACTAGTGGAAGAGTCGATTGATCAACAACATGAAGTGTAATAGAAGCACTTGATGGTACAATCTATTGGGTGGTCGGTTGAGCCTTTCCTGTTGATAATGCTGGGATCTCCTTATAAAGAGGAGAACCCTTTAACACCTTGGTCGCAGTCAAAGCATCATTCCAAGCTTGGGCGTAAATCCCATCTTTTGCTTTATGGACCTCAATTAAATAAGCAACACTGGCCTCATCCGAAGCTTGCTGCCAATAACAGTCCTTTGCAAGCATCAACCTGACCTTCAACTCGACTATCTGAGCTTCATCCTTCTTCACAGCCTGAGCTGCAAGCAACCTGGCCTTTTCAGAAATTGCAAGGCCTTACTTCAACCTTGCTTTTTCCTACTCAATCTCTTTTTTCTTCTCCTTTTAACTCCAAAGCCCTAATCACCACACGAACCCGCTCTCTCGATTTAAGAAGCTGTTGCTCAATCTCATCATAATAGCCAAGTGCTAGGTAAGTCTTTTAGTTAGCCTGAAAACCATTGAAGATATACAGTTTGCAAGGTGAGAAAATACACTTAGAAGAATTGACAACTCAAAAAAGAGTAAAACAAGAACTTACCACCACCATAGATTGCAAAGCATTCTTCATCAAGTCACTGTTTACATGAATGTTATGCTCGGCCATATCAAGTGGAAGAAGCAAAGCCTTCGAAAGATTGAAAACCAAAGCAGCCGAACTCACAGCCGAGCCATTAGAATCAATCGATCGGCCATTGTGCTCGAGCTCGGGCTCCCAAAAATTAGGTCATGTCTTCTCTTTCGGTCCAGCACTAGCATTACCTTTTCACTTATCTTTCTTCTTTCCCTTCGCTTGGTTCGAAATCGAGGCAGTTACAGCCGTGGTCGCAGCAACTAAGACTACCCCCGATGTTTGCTCAGTTGGTCATAGACGTTTGGTTGTAACAGATCAGCAACCTCAATTGGGGAAGGGTCGGTGCCAAGAACAGCAGCTTGTAAATCTAATAATACTCTGTTCCTCGACATGTCTTCTCCCTCTCTAGTTGGTAAAGGAGTGGAGAGTAACCCTTACTACTCTCGAATTTGCATGGCCCCTGTACAGCGGTAGAGAATGTACCAACTTGCTCAACCTCAATCTCCTCATTCGATTCGGGCCACTTATAAAGGTAGGCTGAAAGAATTGACTTTTGCAGAATATTGGAGTTGTATGTCGACTTGTATCCCAATAACTTGGAAGGAGAACGCTTCTCGTAGCTAAGAGTGGTTTTGATCGCCTTTCTATTTTCTAAAGTTTTCCTCTGCTTGAAATAACCCTCCCCGAAAAAATGGTAGAAAAACACAAAGCATCAGATATAAAAGTGTTAGGAATCAAAGACAAGTTGTGACGACCCTATCACGTATAGTAATTAGCACTTAATTAATTAAAGAGATTTGAATTTTAATTGCCCATTATTCTAATTTAATTTGGGATTTATAAGAATTATTCAATCTGATTCGTATATGATTCTATTGAGGATTTATTTTGGAATTAGAAATTGAAATCCTACATGGCTCAAGAGGGTATAATTAGTAAATTAAATTATTTTAATTTCGAATATCAGACTGTATGGGAGTTTAATTAAATATTCGATTCAGATTTGTAAAATTGATATTTGATTAATTGGGTCCGAATTGGAGTAAATTAAGTTATGAGAATTGGGAATTAAGGTTATTATGAATTAATTTTATTTATGAGGTATTCAATTGAGTATGCAATTTATTGGCCAAGATTTTGAAGTTTAATCTAAAATAGAAGACCTTAATGATTTAAGAAACCAAAATTGAGGATGAAAATAAGTTTAATTTAATATTTGAAGCATTTTGGGAGTTTGATTAAAAATTTGATTCAGAATGATAAATTCTAATATAATTAATTGGGCTCTAAAAGAAGTCAAATTAGACGAATTAAATTATATGGGATTTATGTTTAATTATGATTAATTTAATTATGTGTTAATCAAGATTTATTAAGAAAAAATGTTATTTAATTAAATTAATCTTAACCATAAATTAAATTGTAGAATGATTTAGAGTTTGAGGATATATGTAGGTGTGTGTTTTGAGAAGTATGTGTGTGTGCAGAGAAATCTGTGTGCGCGCACGTGTGCCTGTGTGGGTCAAGAGATGAAGGTGTGAATATATGTATTATGTTGAAGGTGTGTATATATGTATTATGTATTATGAAGGTGTGTATATACGTATATATGTATTTGTTTCTGTTAGCTCCTAATATTATGTTAATCTCTCTCAGAGGCCTTCGGTAATCCCAAGATTACTGGCCGGTTACGATGCTAAACCTATAGAGGCGAGTTTGGGTCTTGACACAAGTAGAGAAGAGAGGCAGGCGTAAAGCAAGATAGAGACCTGCGCAACCGTTGACCCTCGGTACTAACTCCATTCGATGCTCAGTTCCAGCAAGAAATTTTCAATTTTCCCTACCAGAAAGAAGTCATCACCATGCTTATCTACATTAGACAAATCGGTCACTAATTGGTATGCAAGAGGCCGATCACGAATGAAATATGCCGCACCGCTACTGTAAGACATATAATAACAATGAACAATATTCCAAATGTCTAAACTAAGCCCGACTCTTCGGTTTAAGGTACACACACCCAACACTATCCTAAAGGAGTTGGTGGAAATTTGCATAAGAGTGAGCAACATGGTGTAAAAAGCGACGAAGCCAAGGGTCAAGAGGGAATCGAACTCCCCCTTCAACAATACAAGCTATGGTGAAAGCAGTTATGTTTTTAGTGCCTTTTCTCTTAGCACCTCGGTTGGCCAAAGTTAAGATCACATTCTTCAGTATGTTATACTCTCTACAAAACCAAGCCATACCTTCTAGAGTATTCACCCAACTCCAATATTTCCCCATGAATAAAATGTAAACCAACATCAAAGCACAACAAGTGGCGAAGTAAGTGGGGAGAGAAATTTGACGGAACTAAACCAATGCCACAAGCTACAAAGCGATGATGTTCATAGAGAAATCAAAACTCGCCGTGCAAATCCACAAATAGCCAAATAAACCTGTTGGGAGCTGAAATCAAAATTGTTCAAGTAAAAAGCAAGATCATAATCATTGAAGTCCAAATTAGAGACAAATAGGGGACACCATGGGAATCCCCAAAATAGGGTCCTAATTCAAGATAATAATTGGAAAGCAAGCAATGACAGGGCAACCTGTTAGAATTTACCATTCACACTCACCTACTACACTCCACCTACCACCAATTTACCCTCACCTACTCCTCACCTACTACCCAAACCCTCTCCTATATAATGAGCCACTCTGATTTGTAATACAACAATCTTGTAACAATACAATCAATAATAATACATCAGTATTTTACATAAGTTTAGAGAAGAGAAAGAGTTAGGGAATGAGTTAGACTTCATTCCCTTTTATATTGATCATACTGAGTAATTACAGGAGTGCCATAAGGCATAATTACATCAATTAAAGGAATAAATAAGGATAACATACAATCAATTGTTTCCTGTTCTAACACTCCCTCTCAAGCTGGTGCGAAGATATCTTTCATGCCTAGCTTGTTGAGAATGATTACACTTGGAACCCTTAGTGGAGTTACCTAGAGGAAAAAATCTGTCCCTGATACAGACGAAATGGTACTATTAGCAATACGCACTTTTTCTTGACCTGAGGAGGGGTTATACTCTGAAAATGAATTAGAGGAGCCAGACATATGGTCTGAAGCACCAGAATCAATAATCCATGGTACAGTCGTATGAGATAGCAATGCATATGGAGAGGAAGCCAAGTTACCTGAATTGGCAAAGGAAGAAGAGGGTGCACTTGTAGCAGAAGTAGAGGCCCAACGGTCTAGAAAAATGGCGAAGAGCAATCTTAAAATCCGAGGCAGATAATCTCGAAACATCAGCAGCGGAGGAGACAACTGGAGATGCAGATGGTGGCTCAACAGTGTCTAAAAGATGGGCTCGTGCATTGGCCCCTCGGCCTCTAGTATCCGACCAACCCCCTTGAGTACTAGGACGGTCTCCTTGGCCACCAGAGGGAGTTCCATGCAGCTTTCAGCAAGTCTCTTGTGTGTGGCGAGATTGACGACAGTAGTCACAGTAAAGTTTATCCTTCTTAGAGGAAGGATGAAAACCTCGAGTCATTGAGTACCAGGACGGTCTCCTCGGCCACCAGAGGGAGTTTCATGTAGCTTCCAACAAGTCTCTCGTGTGTGGCGAGGTTGACGACAGTAGTCACAGTAAAGATTATCCTTCTTAGAGGAAGGATAAGAACCCCGAGTCACACTATCGCCATCACGAGAGGGTGCAGAAACCAAGGCCAAGCGATCAGTAATAGCAGAAGGAAGCATCGCAGAATGGCCACTCTCCTTATTCTGCACAAAAGCGAAGGCTTCCTAGAGAGAAGGAAGCACATCTATGCCAAGTACTCTGTTCCGAACAGGATCATACTCTATATTGAGGCCTTCCAAGAACTTGAAGACCCGCTCTTGTGCCATAAACTTCTGGTAATCAACAGAATCAATGGGATAGACAGGTTTGTAATCCTGAAGGTAATCAAGTTGCTTCCACCCATTGTTAAGGAAGGTAAAATACTTAAGGATAGTCATCTCACCTTGTACCGACTTTTCAATGGAGTGACGTAACACAAAAGCCTGGGAGAAGTTTCCTTTATGGGAGTAAGTGGTAGTCATTGCCTCTCAAATATCTAGTGCAGTGTCCATAGAGAGATAGCCTTCTCTGATCTTCGTTGAGTTTCCAGTGCCACCGCACCAGTTCTCTCTCTCGTTGACTCGTTGAGGTCGGGAAAGAGGGTGAGCAGTCCACGGGAAGATGAGGACGAGGCCATTTTCTGGGCAACAGAGTGTTACAGACTTCTCTCTCAGCACCACGAAGAGTTTTTCAGACTCCCTCTCTCAGCACAACGAAGTTTTTTTTTCAGAAGTTTTTCGCAGCTTTTCTCTTCCTCAGCCTCAGCCTCCGTCTTATAGCCGAGGCAGCCACGCGCATCGCGCGCCTCTTGCCACCAGCCGACACAAAAAAATTACTATATAAACGCCCACGTGCCTCGCCATCATGTCCGGCACACCTTTTGATGTGGGTCCGACAAGACTCTGTAAACTGTCCCGACATTGATTCCGGTTAGTTTCTACAAGGGTCCAGCAAGACTCCGTAAACTGTCTTCTACACCGGTCCGACATGACCCCATAAACTGTCCCGACATTGATTCCGGTTAGTTTCTACAAGGGTCCAGCAAGACTCCGTAGTTAGCCTTTTACAACGGTCCGACATGACCCCATAAACTGTCCCGACATTTGATTCCGGTTAGCATCTCCAACGGTCCGACATGACCCTACCATTCACACTCACCTACTACACTCCACCTACCACCAATTTACCCTCACCTACTCCTCACCTACTACCCAAACCCTCTCCTATATAATGAGCCACTCTGATTTGTAATACAACAATCTTGTAACAATACAATCAATAATAATACATCAGTATTTTACACAACCAAGCTCAAATGACTAAGAACAGCACATAACATAGGCATGCAGCAACGCAACGGTGAAACCCACAGGAGGCGAGTGGCGAACCGGCGACAAGGGAGCATCAAAATCCACCACCGGCAATGAAACTCTCAAGCTTTGAAGGTGTTAGGGATCTGCTAACTTGAAGAAGTTTGATAACAAGATGGGATTTCTAGAGTGAGAAAATAAAAGGCCAAATGGGAAATGCCCCAACTAATAATTGCAATCAATGGAGAGAGAAAGACAGTAATAAAATCAACAACAGAGATTTGAGAAATTACTTACAAGATTGTGACCTACAACCCACATCGATAGCAACGGTGCCTAAGAAACTCAATCGTGGACAAACATATAAACATTGTCGGCGAGGAGAACTGCCAAAAACGTCAAATGATGTCAAAGAGGCACACTCCAGAAGTGAGTGAGATAGGCAACGATGAAGAAATTTATGCTGTACAGAGAGAAGTTGAAACCCACACTTTTTGAATCCTCCAATCAAAGCTTGACACGTGTCTTACAGTAGCTACAGAAAGGACAGTTCATGTCAGAGCCGAGCGAGACTAGCGAGCAAGAATTTAAAAGAAAAAAGAAAAAAGAAAAAGAAAATTAGGCAAACCCACCTACGGACATCCCACTAACGAGTAGTCGACAATAACGATGGGTCCCCCCTTATTTGATTTTGAGCAAAGGCTTATAAGAGTTGAGCAAAACAACCAAACAAAGCTTAAGTATGTGGTCAACATGTTGGGAAAACAAAAGGGCAGCTGGCAACACGAGAATCAAACCAGTTGATATTTGGCCCAATTCCCGAGTTGCGTACAAGGCCTAGTAACAAGCAAGTTATCAACATGCTACAAATCCATTCCAATAAAGTGCAACAAATCAAGAAAGTAAAAAATAATGAGCCCAAGCACTCAAGACATTTGTTTATATAAGTTAAAAGAAGTAAAGGACTTGATGGATATTGAGACCCACCTAGTAAGTTCACGCAAGGCCAAGCATATGAATTTGCAAACATTACCATAACAAATCTGGCATTCAAGAATTGGAAAGTTTGTGGGCCTATGGCAATCAATGTTGAACAATGTCAAAACCAAGTTCATGAAACCAGGCACATGGAACGAGTATACTGTTTCAAGAGTAAATAAAAAGACAGAACAAACTCAGAAAAAGAAAAGAAGAAAAAAAACGGAACAAGTTCAGACCCAACCAAGGCAGTGGGCCAATTGCACAGCTCACACTCGAAGACTCCAAGCATGAGCTAGGGGACAAATGACGATGGTCATTTACAACTCTGCATTAAGCATAAGTGAAACAAGGAGAAGACCGCAAGTCTAAGGGCAATACCTGGGCCTAGTAACGTTACAAGATCAGAGAGTCGAACCCAAATGCGAGTTTGGGCCGAGCTCATGTCCAATGGCCCAAATCATGTGGACCAAGCGTTTACTTGAACTAGAGAACCACCAAGGGACTAAACATGAAGACCAACTGTGATCCTAAGCCTAACGGAGTGAGTGCTTCGAACCACACAGCCCAAGCACAAACTTGGGCTGAGCGTAACTAAGGTGGACTACTAACTTGAATCAATGCACCGAACTACCCATAAGAGCGTCCAGTACGATCCAATTGCACAATTTAACTTGCATCCAATACATGGAAAGAACACATGATCCTCCGCAAATAACAGAATTGCTTAACAGATTTTTTGCTCTTCTTCAATGAGGAGTGGCCTAGCATGGCAAAGAGAGAAATTTGGTGAGCAAGTCAAGCAATCCTTATAAAAGGTAACCTCACTCTGCTTTGGGGGGATCGAACTCTTTACACTCTATACACACTCGTCTTCACTACTTTCTCTCTACCAAACTTCGGTACTGAATCAACCGTCAGAGAAGTTTTCGACCAAACCCCGGTCGGGCAGCCTAACCATTTATTTCTTGTATAGGCCCTCACCCGACGGTGCACCAAGGTTTGTCCATGAGGTTCCATCTTTCTTTATTGCGAAAACTAGTCCACACAAGTGAAAAGTAAAAAAGATGACAAACTCATTTTCCCATTAATATGACTAATGAATTATTAATAAAAGAAAGTTAAGTATTATATAACTTAAAACCTTAAAAGAATTAATGCAATTATTCCAAAGCTGTTGCATTTTTCCAAATTTTAGAGGAGATCGGTATTATTTACTTTTTTTTAATACATAAAAGAGTCCCAATTTTAAGATTTCACCTAAGTCCTGAAAAATTTTGGACCGTCCCTAGTCTTGATGGCTTGGTGAGCCAAGTCTCTCATCTCTCTATTTTAATCACATTTCACTTCGACTTTGAGCAATCCAAACTTAATTTATGTAGTCTACAAAGAATGTTAGAGAATCATCTCCCAACATTTTTTTTAAGTCACCCAATGATCGGTCCATAAATAGTGGATCTCTCTACTTGAAGTCAATTACCACATATCTCACTTTGATAATCCGATTCATTGACATTCTAGCCTCTATGTAGATCTTTTACAAAATATAAATAAATAAAATAAAATTTAAATTGATTCAAAATCATAACTACTTAATTTCATCATAACATTTATCTATAAAAATAAAAATATAAAAAAAAAAGAAGAAAAATTCATCATTACATCACACTTCTCTTCCAAAAATTAGACTACAAGGATATTTTTAAATAGATAAAGAAGTCTCTTCCATATATAAAAAATGGTTCGGCTTCCCTCAAGTCTTGGATTAGAGGGTGTTGTCTGAACTTGTGGAGCCCATCACGAGTGGTGTTTAGACAATTTGAATCATTTATTTTGTAGAGTTCTTTATTAAATCATATATAAAAAAATAAGTTGATCCAATAATTATAACATGTTCAATTTAGAAAAAAATTCATTTTGCCCTCGTACTTCGATAATCAATTTAACCCATATAATTTCAATTTTACACTTAAACTATTCAATTTCTAATCAATTTTACCCCTACCTTCAACTACCGTCTATAATTACACGGCACTTGCTGCTATCTTCATTTGAGATTTTATTTTATCCCTCAAACTATCCCCAAAATATCAATTAGACCCCTAAACAACATGAAGTTTGAGAGTTTAATTGATATTTTTGAGATAGTTTGAGGAACAAAATAAAATTTCAAACGAAATTTCGATACTACGTCAGCAATTTCTATTTGAACAGCAACGAATGACATGGGTGAAATTGATCCAAAACCAAATAGTTCAGATATAAAATTGAAATTACAAAGAGTATAGGGTTTAAATTGATCATCGAAATATAATTTGGGAGTAAAATAAAATTTCCTCTTCAATTTATCATGTTTATTACCGGGAAAATTGATGTTGTATTTTAAAAAATGCACTTGTCTTTTTTTTTTTTGAGACACGCAATAAATTGAACACATTATGATTATTGGATTTACTTAATTTTTTTTTAAGAATTATATATATATATAAAGAACTTTACAAAATGAATAGTATAGTTAGAATAATCAAAACATGGAACGTAATGAATCCTACGAGTCCGAATGATACCATCCAATTCAGATTTTACTGGAGACAATCTGTTCCATAACAAATACATAAAATAAAATAAAAATAAAAAACTTTGAATAAAGAAGTCCTCTTTGGCAGCAGCACCAGAATTAATGAGATCTAGTTAGAGCAATACATATTCACGTACGAAGGTTCCCCTGGAATTCTTTGTGTGTGGGTAAAAATCTGACCACACTGCCCGTTTAGTGATCAGCAGCTAAGCACCGGCAGAATAGATGGCTCCAGCAACCTGTAACAGAAAAGAAAAGCTCCGGCGGTGGTTCTTCCACCCGGGGGCACTCCGACGATCAAGTCAGTATGATTCTCAAGGATAATCAAGTATTAAACTGAATACTCAAAGTATGAATTACATACCTTAGACCCACGGGGGTGCCTCTCTTTTATAATATACTCAATCCAAGTCCAACTAGAAGTATGACTTCTATGAACTCCAATCTTAGTGCTTACTCTGGACTCTTTAAGAGATAGAGATAAACTCCCTAAGAGCTTTTATCCTTATCTTAACTAAGTCCCCTCTTTGCCTTAGGACTCTTGTCCCTTATCTTCGGACTCCGATATCTTCGGAGATGACCTCGGCTTCTCCGAGATTACCTCGGCTTCTCCGAGATTACCTCGGCTTCTCCGAGATTACCTCGGCTTCTCCGAGATTACCTCGGCTTCTCCGAGATTACCTCGGCTTCTCCGAGATTACCTCGGCTTCTCCGAGATTACCTCGGCTTCTCCGAGATTACCTCGGCTTCTCCGAGATTACCTCGGCTTAACTACCAGGGCACGTGGCACCTCGGCTGACACGTCGGCGTCACCATGCCACGTGTTGGTATTCAAAAAATATGTCCCCACACTTTGGATTCATGCTAAAATTTCATACAATTTGTATTTGAATTTTGAATTTATAAAAATATAAGATAGATGTGAATAAAATATAAGTTAATTCAAACATGGTCTTAATTCAAACAGTCTTGATGAAATATAAATTAATTTTTTTCACAATAAGAAAATCGACCAAGTTGTAAAAGTGTTTTATTCAGAGGTGACTTAAACCTACTCAAAGCTCAAGGTGAAAAAACTAATTGGGGCCTTTTATAATACATGTAATTCACAATCAAAAGACACGTAATTCACACTGGAGAATTTTCCTTTTATTTGTCAATTTAAATTCTAATTTTTTTCATGTATTTTCAATTTAAACTATCAATCTATTTTCATTAAGTAAAATTGACAGAAAATATATTTTAGTCATTAAATTTAATATAGATATATATAAAATGTCTACAGCACACTTTTTCATTGGTTTAATGACTAAAATACATTTTTTCTGCGAGTTGTAGTTAACAAAAATAGACAGATGATTTAAATTGAAAACCAATCAAAATTTTAAGATTTAAATTGATAAAATTAAAAATTAAGCATTTAATTTGTTACAATGGTCAAATTATGATTTTTTTTTTTTTTGTAATTTTTTCAAATATTTTTAACAAAGATGCCTTAATTTTTTTTTTCTTGACTAAAGGAAGCAGAGGTGTAATATAATTATAATGATGAGATAAGTTTGTATTCAACTAGAGAGGTTGTTTACTCTCTTTCTAATTTGACAGAGAGAGTAAGATAATTGAGAGATTTTTTGCTACTTTTTCTTATTTTTAAAAATTATTCTCAATGTATAAAAGTGTTTCAATTTAATTTTTAATATTTAAATTGTGTCAATCCGATTCTTAAAGTATAAAAAATATTTCAACTTAGTACTCAAGATATGAGGTTTGTGAACATTCCATGGCCCATTGTTGGCAAAATTTGCAACAATTCTGAAATTAAGTTACTTGTGCACTTGAAGCTCAGTTCCTTCTGCTCTGAACAAGTTGTTAATTATGTTTGAGGAATTCAAGTGACTTGTTCTTTTATCCACACCATTTTGTGATGGGTAGTTTTCCAATTTGAGAGTACA